GAGCTCAAAACTGGCAGTTACAGCTCCGGGAAGGGATCCTTACCTTTGATAGTTCTGTGAAATCATCAGCTCAATGTGCTGGGGCAGCCCAAAAAGCCCACAAAATACTGGGTACCATCAGGATGTATGTCGAGAACACAGCAGAAGGCATCCCTTTTCTGCAACATAAAACATCTTGATAGTTGTGTGTAGTTCTGGATTTTGCGTTTATAGAAGGATATAGGGATGATCCAGAAAAGGACAACCAAAATAATCCAAGGGATGGTGCACTATGTTAAGAAAGTGGACTGAAAAAGCTGACTGTAATCAGTTTGGAGAGGAAAAGGCTCTGGGAGAGTAAGGTCAAGGTTTACAAAATCATAACGAAAGTGAATAATTAAAGGCATAACCCTTTACCACATCCTCCAACAGTTGAACTAGGGGCATTTGATTAAACTAGTAGGAGATTGTTTTAAAACAGACAACATAGAGCTTGCTGCAAATTGGTGTATAAGGGATGCTAAAAAGAATGTGTGTAAACGTACATAGCAACACCTCCTATGCAGTGATTGTGGATGTTGGGGGAAGTGCAAGGGGAAAGGACCAGACCTGCATGTTTTCTGTAAACAGCATTTTCTGCTGTTGGATTCGAGTCTCACTTTTTTAAAGGTAAATTTTCAGGATTTCCTTAAATAACTTTTTTTTTTAGATGAAAGAAGTTCACATTCACCAAGCCTAGCTAAAATCTGAAATTATTAAAGTAAATGATAAAACCTTGTTACAAATCCAGCACATCATCACTGCAATGAGTTTTATGCAAAATAAAAATAACCTGGTGTGGTCACCTACAAGAATATTCTTTTACCGTGGTGTGCATATGTTCTTTAACAGCACCTGCGGTGCGTTTCTGAAACCCATAATACTGAATCATCTTGGCAGAATCACTTTTCTTGCAGTCAAAATAGTATACATGGTGGAGCTGACTACATAGCATGGGATTAAACGTTCATTGGAATGCATGGAGTGAATTTTTGCAGTTACTGTTAAATGAATGACACTGTCACAGTAATGAAATACTTATGCAAATTATGGTGACTCTTTGTTTCTTTAATGCTCTAGGTGTTTGAAGTTGTGATACTCTTGATTATTTTTATAAATTTACTGTCATACATTTTACTATGATGCTTTCATCGAAAATTACATCTTTTAGTACCAGTATGTGAGTTACAAAGCAATGCAGCCTGTGTGTTGGACTGTAACATATACTGAGGCAAACATAGTGCTCCATCTTAGGAGAACAAGAAGCTGCAAAAAGTCTGATGTTTGTTTCTTTTTGTCCCACAAAAAAATTCCCACTGGGAAAAAGTTGTATGGAGGGAGAAGAAATACTTATGCAAGTACAGGGTCAAGTTATTCTCTGGCAAAAATAGTTCTGTTGGCTTAATACAGGTCATGTAGGTATTGAACTGTTATTTTGTGGCAGCCTTGATGACTAATTGTTCTTCTGGTAGGAGTATGTTGCTGTAAGTGCTAAGGGCTTGTAACTAATTTCCTACATAAAATCCTGAACCTTTCCATTTAATGCAGACAAACTTTTTATATGAGTATTTTGCATCTGCTGATCATGTGCCTGCAACAGACACAGAAGTACTGTGATTGCTTCTTGTCTGTTCCTGAGAGAATTATGCCATTTTTCTATACAATATTTTCAAATCAGTAGTTTAATGTTTGTTTGGAATCCTGATACGTATTTTTTGCCCCTCTTTGCACCATGGTTTCTAAAGCGTAATGACGTTTCCCTTTAATCTTCCAGTCGCTAGGTGAACTTGGTATTTCTGTGGCCTGGCTCTCTACTGTTGCAAAAACAGACCTCTAAGAGCAGCAAGCATTGGGTGCAGCCTGTGGGTCCTCCTCAAATAGCAGCAGCCACAGCACTTGATATTCCAAAGGGAGTGAGATAAAAAACAAATTTTTAATATGTATTTTTCCCCACAGAATACAAAACCATTTATTAAAATTGGAAAGGCTTTCATATTCTGCTACATGAAACTATATGCACCGGAAAGACCTTTGCAGAGTCACCTAATAGTTTTTCTTTGTCATGGCCAAATTATTGTCATTTTAAGTTTCAGCTTTCAGAACCATTACTAATGTCAGACTTCAGAGTTGTCTTTGATGTCTGGATGAGGCAATTGGTACATAACCAGCTGTTTTCTCTCCAAAAATAACACTTCTCTCAGTCTCTGGTTGTCAGGTCTCAGGGCTCCCACTGATCCTTCTGTGTAGCATGGCCTTATCCAGGCAGCTGCTGATCCTGGAGACCCCCCCAGGCATCCCCCCAACTCTCCGCTCAGCCAACAGCCCTAATTAACAGACTTTGCTAATAGCTTCTCTTAGTTGTTTATTTTGACTGGCAGGACCTCACACAGCTGGCTTACAGAAAACTTCTTGGGCTGCCCAGGTTTCCCTTTCAGTCTACGGATTTCCACTTCAATGCTGCAGGCTGCTGCCTTACATAAATAATGTGATCACCCACCCTGGACACACCTAGAAGCATTACACGAGTACAGTGATACATTTTTCATCTACTTTATGACAAGCTTCCTTTTTAAGTGAAATGCCCTCAAATATATTGAAAAACATGCACAAACTGAGTATGCATCAGGCCTTTCTATCAGTTCCTTTTAATTCACGCTCCTCCTTTCCACCGGGCATCAGCAGTGCTCTGTTCTCTTTTCATCAGCCACCAAGCTTACACATGAAACTCAGCTTACAGTTTGGAGGAGGTCTGGGAACAGAAGGTGTATTTATAAAGGACTGGGCAAGCATGTACGATACTACTTTGGGTATTCCTCCAGCCTCCAACAACGTGTGGCTCAGATTTTCTGAATCAGAGACCTATCTACGTATGTAGTATGTATACACACATGAACACAGAAAAGTCTCTCTCACAAACTATATATACACTTATATACTTACAAGTGTGTGTATATGAATATATTTTAGTATCTAAATTATATATACACATAGTTTGTGTTAATACTTCTATTAATAGTGTTAGGTGCTAATGCTTCTATTTTTACCTACCATCATCTTTATTGTCACTGTCTTCTAAAACAGAATATACTCTCCATGTCCATCCATCCACACACACACATACATATATATAATTAGTTTCTAAGCTTCACATGCCAAGTGAGCATACAGTCAGGCCAGAATTTTTTAAATATCTCATTTGTAAAAATACTATTTATACTTCTTGAAGTTCTTCGTTAATTCTTTGCTGACCACATTTACTGCTTGTGTCTGTGGAAATATGCTCAGATAAGACAAAAAAAGAAATCCTACTTAGGTTTTTAGGCCCAAATTCACTTTGACAGGATCCCACACAAGTTTAAGTCAGAACCTATATACAGATCTTCGCAAGGTGAAAGCATTACAATTGCCAGCACAGCACCAACTCTGTGTCAGGTGTTTGAAAGATAGCTTTTTATCCCTGGAGCTCATTGCCCTTTTTGAAAATTTCTTAGATTGTGAGTGGTTTAGCATTACTTTTAAATTATGCTAAACTGTTTTCCTAAACATCTGAATGTTTAATTCATAAAGACATTTTCAAAAGAACGTTTCCCTCTGTTGCTTGCTTTGGAACCAGCAATGTCATAGTCACAAGAAGACTCTCCAGCAAGTGAATGACAGGTCAGCAGTCATAAGCTTGTTGGATTTTGGTGCTTGCCCTTGAAGTGAGAGGGAAACTAATGAAAGGATTCACCCGGAGAAGCTGTGGCAGAAGACAGACTAGAGGAGAGACATGCTTAGATGTGCTGCTCATTTTCACTGGGATGCTTGGCGTTTATAACACAGACCTCTTGGAAAAGTAATGTAGTTGATTGCTACTCACTGAATCTCTAATTTATTTCAGCTTGACAGTTCTCCAGGCATTAGAGGATGGACTGAAGAGAGCAGATGCAGATCCTTCCGTGAAAGCTGTTATGATTTGTGGCGAAAATGGGAAATTCAGTGCAGGTAAGACATTTTTCATCAAACACAGCCCGAGAAAAAGAGGAAACACTCTCTACCCACCATGTCTGAAGATTCTCTGCCTCGTAACACTGCTGATAAAAGTCCTGATTTGGCTGGAAATGGCCACAAGACAGCGGGCTGCTTCTTATTCTGCTGTGCCACAATTGACTGTCCAGGCCAGAAATAAGCTGGTATGTTCATGCTGAAATGAGGGACAGCTGCTTATCTCCCTAATGTACTGGTGCCTCCTTACTCCCCATAGCTTTGTTTCTATAAAATCTCTGGACCATCAACTAGTCCAATGTATGGAACGTACCTGGGGTGGGGCAGTGGTGAATTACAGATCTTCTCCAGTTGTAGAAACCTGGGAAGCTAGGGAATTTCTGTGGAGCTGTACGTTGCTTGTTAGTAGTAACTTGCACTTAACTATTCCAGACTCAACTTTTTTTTTATTACACCAAGGATGTCTGCAAATTTCTGTAGTAACTGCATAATCATTACTACGTATTTTTGTACTTAGCCTTCCCCTGAGCTCTCTGAATAGGCTCAAGGAGCCAGGGTTTCTTGAAGGTGGTCCCAGAAGGGGTTGATTCCTGTTAACCACTCTTCTGCCAGCAGCATGCTGTGCAAGGACTTGATCATCTGTGAGCAGCTATGTTCAACGGCACAGAGGGAAGGATCATTCCAATCACTGCCTTCCCCACTAATTCCTCTTCACCTCTTTGTACTAACTCAGGAGCTGACATTCGAGGATTTTCTTCTCCGAAGAGACAGGGTACTGGCTTGGGCTCCATCATCTCTCTCATAGAAAGGAGTGAGAAGCCTGTGGTGGCTGCTATTGAAGGCATTGCCTTGGGAGGAGGCCTGGAGGTGGCACTTGGCTGTCACTATCGTATTGCACATGTGAAGGTAACACACGCCATGAACTAGAGAGGCAGGTGAAGGCATCAGGAGCCATGTACATATGGCCATGGACAGCATGGGAGGCTGCTCCTGGAGAGCAATGGGACAGCGTGCCTTTCCTGGGATCATCTGCTCAGAGGAGGGGGGCTTTATTGCTACAGGATACAAGTCTGTGTGCTCAGACATTCTTCACCTACAACACCACCCTTGACATGCTTTCATAAGTCTTATTAAATAACTAATTTCAAGTAATTTCTAAATATAAAATTGATTTGTAACTAGTAGAATAAGGTAGCTGCATAGAAACTTAAGTAATCAAGTGTTAATTTGCCCTAGATCTCAGTAGTCATTATCTATATTCTGATGTAGATGGCTGTATCTTACTGGCTCATGCAGTGTGACTTACTTTCTTTTTTTCCCCCCAGCTCTGTGAATTTTGCATTTCTTTCTGCTAGTGGCCTAGTTTCAATAGGCAGTTGAAACTCAGCTAGCATGGAGCATTTACGGTTTGATTCCCCATGAGCTCTGGTTCCTCAGGGAGTACACTGACCAAAAGACAGCTTTAAGAGTCTTTTAAGGAGTGATCTGGTTTTTTTCTTGAACCCCCTCCTTCAAGATTCAACTACGTTTTAGCAGTACCTGGTCTCCTTATAGAGACTCTTCACTGATAGGGCCATCCCCTCACTTTTGCAGTGTGAATCACTGTTTCTCCACAACAGTGTGGGTTGCTGTAACAACATAAAGAGGTATTCTGCATCACCCTATATGCCACCTAAGATAGGTGCCATAAATAGTGGTCTTAAAGTGACTTGAAATCTCTTAAGAGCTCAATGGGAAATGTGCAAACTAATTTTTTTTAAAACTAGGCAACAAAATCTAGATAGATTTTTAAGAGAAGACAAGACCTCCCTTCCTGCTGCCCCTGGCTTCTCTGCCATAACCCTACTAAATGTCAAGAGCACCAAAAGCCATTTGAAGGAAACACATTTGGAGGAAGATTAGGGAAGAGTTCAGTACCAATGTTCCTTTACTAAACTTCCAAGAATTAAAGTAGGGAGGTAACAGTTAAGTCACAGAGTGCCCTCCAGCATTTGGTAACAACTGCTTGAAAGCATTAGTTTACACCTGTGTCAATTGGGGGATGCTGTTGGCCCCACAGCTCTCCTCCAGTGCTGTGCTAGCACACACACATCCACTGAAAGGTGATTTTTTTTCCTGTGCATTTGTGCACAAGTTCTTGAAATGGTTGAGTGGGCTTTTGTCTTAAGTGTCTTATGTCGCAAAAAGCAAGGATGAAGTTTCTATGTAGAAGTTTTGAGGCTTCCTAGAGGAGCAATGTATGAATCAGATCTGCTTGCCTTTCCTCTATTCTGCTCAGTGTGTAATTATCACTCACTCTAATCAGATTTGTTGTTGAATTTGATTTCATTTTAGGCACAGATGGGTTTACCAGAGGTCACCATTGGGTTACTTCCAGGTGCTGAAGGCACTCAGCGACTACCCAGACTGATTGGGGTGCCAGCTGCTCTGGATATAATCACTACAGGTAAAGTAGTGGCTTGGCCTTGCTCTGTGTATAAGAATATGGCACCGAGTCGTACCACCAGCTTAGTCTAAGAAACATGAATTTCTTTTACCTATGTAGCTGCTTGGATTGAAATTCAGCTTGCTTCCACTAATGATGGGCTAAGAAAGGGACATACGTGCTTCTGAGGCATGTAGTTAGTAATGCATTTTATGTACCTGATAATGAGCATGTCTCATGTTTGAAGCCAGCTACACACAAGTCGTTCGATAAGATGGAAAAGAATGAAATTGCCCATCATGCCCCACTGTAGTCACCTTATTTCTCTTTTTATCACAGGAAGACACATTCCAGCAACTGAAGCACTGAAGCTGGGCTTGGTTGATGAAGTTGTGGAAGAAAACACAGTTGAGGCAGCAATTCACTTGGCAAACAAAGTGATTGGTGAGGAAAGAACTGTAGCAATGCCAAGAAATAATTGCTGATGTTTCAGGGCTGGAGAGTCAGAACAAAGCCCACCAGTTTGTTCCAATTTATATGCTCCATTCATTGAGTTTTGGCATCCATATAAGATAGAATTAATTTCAGAATTTGTTTTCTGTTGTCTGAAGTGAAAAATTCAGATGCTGGAGAGCTGCAGAAATTCAAGTGAGGATCCAGAGAACAGATACATATCAAGTCCTCCTGTTTCTTAATTATATATCCAAATTCACATGCTCCTCTGGACTGCTGCACTCCACTGATTTTGCTCTTTCCATATATAATTTTGGATCACATGGTATTGCACATATTCTGGTTGCACCATCAATAATGGCTGATCAAAAATAACTTTTTTCCTCTAGTGGAGGGGCTGGCACATCCTCAGCCCAACTTAATGATCCATGAGTCTGTAAGTGACTCTGTCCCTAATTCTTTAGCTGCTATGTAAGAAAACGGCCTGTGGAGATGGGAGGGATGTGCAGAGGGTTTCTTCCCCACCTTAGAAATAACAAAATCAAATTCAATGGAGTTAACAGAGGAAAAGGAACATTCCTTGTGCAGCCTGAGGAGCATCACCTTGAGAGAAAACAGGATATTTTTCCGCTACTAACCTCCTTGTACCTTTGGAAACAGACCATTGACTTCCATCAGGATTTCATCTGGAGCTTTGTCACAATGAGATGCATCAAGGAAGCAAAAAACTCCTTCTGCTTTGATCACATGGCCTTTATAGGCAATGCTTTTCTAAGCTGGGGTGCTGCTTTAGCTGCTGCAGTTCCCTTCACTACAAACAAGGCCCCTTCTTCTCTCTACAAGCACTTCAGTGCTAGAAATTGAAGCAGCCTAACCTTTGTCCTAGATGACAGGGCACCATATTTTTAAGACAGTTCAATTAATGGGCTCTTCTTAAAGAAGAGTGTCTTGTTTACTTCCCTGCAACTTGAGATTTACCAGATAGGTGCAAAAGGGTATTCTTTGGCTAGGTTTTCTGTAAGAGACTCCCTTTCTTCTCACTGTATTAATCCTACGGTATTTTGGGGCTTCATTTTTAGTGCAGAGT